GGGCACCCACGGGGGCACCGGGCGAGGGACACCCAGGGGTACTGCACTAGGGGCACTCCGGTGGCAGTGCGAGAGCGGCACACGGGGTACTCGGGTGGCGCCGGGCGAGCGACGCCCCGGGGCAATGCTCTAGGGGTGCCCCGGGTGAGGGACATCCCTGTGCGAGAGACACCCCGGGGCACAGCTCTAGGGGTTACCCCTGGGGGGACTGTGAAAGGGACACTGCAGAGCACGGCAATAGAGGTACCCTTGGTGTCACCAGGCAAGAGACACGTTGTGCGATGGACACCCTGGGGCACTGTGGAAGGACAACCGGGGTGGCCCCGTGGCAGTGAGTGAGGTACACCCCAGTGGTGCTGCCCTAGGTGTACCCCAGTGGCACTGGACTAGGGACACCCCAGTGGCATTGTGCTATGGACACCCCAGGGCACGGCATTAGGGGCACCCTGGTGGCTCTGAGTGAGGGAGACCCCGGTGGCACTATGCTAGGGGTACCTGGGGGCACTGGATTAGGGACAGCCCTGTGACACTGTGCTAGGAACACCCCAGACCACTGCCTTAGGGGCATTTCTGGTGGCACTTCTCCAGTGGCACTGGGCTGGGGGGGAACACCTATGGCCTCTCACCACTGTGGGGAACATACCATGTCTGGCCCTGGGCTTGGGGACTGCATGGGCTGGCATCGTGCTGTTACTGTGCCCCAGGGACATGACCAGTCACCCACCCCCAGGGCTTGAGAGGCACTGCCCTGGGCACACCCCATGCCCTGTCACTGCACCCGAGGCCTGACGGACCCTGCTTGCTCGTGGTGGCTTGGGGGCACCTCAGGAGCTGGCACTGATGTCCTGGGGACACTCTCAGGCTGTGTTACACTCCGGGACGCCCACAGGCTGTGGCTGCAGCTGGGGACACCAATAAGATATGATTGCAATTAGGGACATCACAGGCTGGGACTGCAGAGACGCCCACAGGCTATGATTACACTCAGGAGCACCCATGGGCTATGGTTGCACTCTGGGACCCTGTGGGCTGGCACTGCCCATGTGGGAAGAATCCCCCAGGAGAGAAGCAAGCAGAGACCCTGACCTCTCCATCCAGCTCCTGCATCACAGTGGGGCAGGAGGGGCCTAGCTCCATGCAGGATCCCTGGAACCCACTTCCCTACTGCCTTGTACCCTGGTGCCACTGTCCCTGACACCTACAGGGACACCTGGCACATGCGCAGCCCCTAGGATGGCATTTCAGGGTGACACAGGTTGCACGGGCAGCCCACCACCCCTCTCCATCTTTCTGCTCTAAATGAACTGTATTTCACAGTCAAAAAAATGCAAACCCTTCAGATCCCGTCTCCTCCAAAAATAACCCGGGCTTTAATAATGCTCGTAAATGCTTCTGGTGCATTCCCAGCTGCAGGGTGGGCTCTGGGCCGGGGGGGCTGGAAAGAGCCGGCAAAGGGGTCACAGGAGCCGTGCGGCACGTGGGAAGGCTGGGATGAGACCAGGACACCGGGAGGGGTGTGCAGGCTGCCCCGGCCCATCGCCCCAGGGCTGCATCCAGCCCTTGCCTGCCGCAGCCTTTTGGCAGCAGTGTTCCCAGCAGAGAGGAGCAAAAAGTTTTCGAGAGCTGGAGGAAGTGGCTTTCTAGGAGCCCTCAGCCCCTGGCTGTGGGGGGCGTAGGAGGGACAGGAGCAGCCAAGGACTGAGGGGCTGATGGTGCCGTGGGGAAAGCGGCAGAAGAGCTGTTGCTGGACTCTGGAGAGCAGCTATTAATACTGACAAATTAGGCACATATTTGGACAAGGAAAGTCAGTAACCACCAGCCCACGGCTTCTGAGGGGAGGGGTTAAATCCCTCTCACGTCATTCCTGGATGAGGATGGATAGTTTTCTGCAAGATGCTTTGGCCTGGAGTAAATTCATGGGCTCAGTGCACGGGGGAAAGATGATTCTGTGCATGGTGCGAGTGGCCAGGTAGTTGCCCTGCAGCCAGGCAGGGCTTAAGCCCTCAGATATCTCCCCGAAGGATGGAGTTTTCCCTTGCTGCCCACTACCCTTTGCTCCAGACATCACAGCCACGTCCAACTCGCCCAACTGGGCCCATCCTGGTGCCCAGGCCCACAAGTCTGCCCTCAAGGCCATTCTCTGGGGTGAGCTCTGGGACAAGGGGGTGCAGAGGGGTGTGGGTGCACATCATTCCCATTACTGCCCCATGCCCAGCTCTGCCTTGTGCTAAGGTCTCCAAGGATTGGCATCCCCCTGCACTCCTGGGAAAGCCTTGTCCTGCCATTTAATGGGAACTTCTCAGGTGCAACCCATGCTGCACCCTCCCATCCTGCCCCTGGGCTCCCTGAGAAGGTGGGCTGTGGCTTCCCTCTCTGCCTCCAATTTAGCTGGATTTAGGTCCCTTTGGAGGCACTGGTGCCTCATGACTGTAGCATCCCACTGCCAAATCTCCGTGTGTGCTTGCCCAAGCCTGCCTGCCAAAATAACCCCCCACTCTGGAGGGCAAGATTTAAGGGACTGAGGTGAATCTCACCCCATGCCCCTCCCCTGGTGTTGGTGCCACCACCTTTTGCCTGTACCCAGCCGGGAGGACACAGCAGTGGGTGCACTTGCAGCCCTGTGCCAGAGGTGCTGAATCTCCCTTGGCCCGGGGATGCCGGGATGAAGCTGGGGCCGCTGCCACACCGTGCCAGCTCACTGTCCTTGGTGGCTGCTCAGAGGGGCCCTGTGCCCAGCCAGTACCTGGGTGAGAGCCTGGTGCCGGGTCAGGCGGGTGCAGATTGTCAGGGGACAGCTGGGAGGACTGGGATGCCTGCTAGAGCCACAAATCCACCCTGGAGCCTGGCCAGGGGTGAGCGTCCCAGGGGGGCAGCCCCTCCGCACCCCAGGGACGCGCCCGCGGGGGCCTGGGGTCACTGGCCGGGATGCTGCAGGATGCTGCCTTCGCCGCTCGTGATGCTCGCTGCTTGCGCTGCCGGGGACGGCTCCAGGAGGCAGGGGACATGTGCCAGCATCCCCGCTCCTCCCCGCAGCATCCTGCTCGCTCCGCCGCCTCTCAGGCCCCCCAAACCCACGCCCCCCAAACCCCCGCTGAGTGACGGGGTGGGAACAGGTGGGGACACGCTCGGGGCAGCTGCTGCCCCCTCAGGTCGGCCCTAGGGGGCTATTTTGGGGCGTGAGCTCAGCGCCGGCAGCCGGGAGGGCTCCGGCCACATTCCCGGACTCACAGCGCGCCAAGGGCGGCCGCTTCCCCACCGCTACACCACCAGTGACCTGGGGGTCCCCCACCTTCACCCCTGTAGCACCCTACACGGGTATTTTCTGCTGGCAGCAGGATGGGGCCAGGCACTCAGCTGCGAACCGCTC